TATAAGTTTATTATCTTCGGAATAATACATATATATATATACAAACTTTTATATATATATATATATACATATATATATATCTTTCCTCTCCTGTATGTAACAAATGTCTTCTCATCCAGAAACTTCATTTTGTAGATTTTATTTCTTGCATCTATGAAATGCAGAAACGCACCTTCAGGAGGCCTGAGCTTTTTATATTCGGTATGTCTGTCGCCCAATTTTAGATGTATGTATTTTTTGAGCAAATTCGGTCTCCACTTATAGAACTGTGTGAAAAGAGCAGGCTTGCGAGCTGGCCCTCTAATCTGATGCGTACCGCTGCCTATTTGTTTACTTTCGGAGTACGGTATCTCTGGTGGCAGCTGTTCGGTTCTCGATCAATAGGGCATCAAAAGATTGCCGGAGGGCACAGATGAGTGAAGATGATGCTTTTGCAGGAGGAAAGCCAGGAGGAGCTGCTAGCTAGAACGCAATCCTCGCTGCCACACTGATGCTGGTAGCTTACCACGGGGCATTCCGATTGCATCGCTGCCGCTTATTGGACGAATTCCAGGCCGAGTGGCCCCATCCCGACGACCTCTGCTTCGCCACGCCCAAGGCCAGGGTGTCATCCCGAGCAAGAAAAGGGCAGTCTGACCCGGGCACCGGTCGCTACAGCTTCAAACACTGCAACGCCAGCTAATACCAATTTTTCTAAAATCGCTGATACACTGACTTTGTGCCAGAGAAGTGAGCGGTCAAAACGGGTTCCGGAGAGGTACTTGATCAGAAGTGCAGCGGCTTCGAGAGCTGAATGAGGAGAGAGCAATGGAAGGAGGAGCGGCGTATTCCGCCTCTGACAATACCCGTAACAATGGTAGGTTCTTCGTGGATGCTTCCAGCGGGTGTCAGAAATCCAGAAAGCAGTGATCCGGGCGCTAATACACAGGTATCGAGTTTTTGGTGATTTCTAAATATTCTTTACTTTAAAAATTAAATTTTTGAGAGATTTGGCACAAGGTTTATTGATAATCTTTGGATAATCGCGCTTGCATTGCTTGTAGCTCCATGCTCATTTATTAAAATATTCAGTAATTAAAGTAAGTATTCAATTTTAGCACTTAAATTTTTCAATTTTGCTTCTTGATTAGGGTGCCTAATTTAATTTTAATACTTAATTTTAAATCTTGGTGAAGTATTTGATTTTATGAATTAAGCGCAATGAATGAATTAAACACAATGGATGAATTAAACGATTTTGCTTAGCAAAAGTCAACGCAGCGTTGATTCAAAAAAAAAAGGAGACACTGAGAAATAGACCAAGTGTTAGCAAATGTCAAAAAGTACTCATGACAAGGTTATCGATGGCCCCTCTCTCGAAATCATTGCTTATAGCAGTTGACGGAACGTTTGACTGTGACGTGTACCAGAACCAGTTTGCTATCGAAACAAATGAACTAGCTGTAGAGCGGCCGGTTTTTCCACCGACGCATTTGATCACTTTAACCTTCAGGGTACGAGAACAACGCTGGAGGAAAATGAACTGTCTGAAGGGGAGGTGGAAGAAGGGGGGCGGGGGCGGGGGACGTCATTATGGATCGAATTAGACGGCAGTTTTTTCCCGGAATTCACATCTATCTTGTGTTTGAGTTGAAGGAGTCACGTTCCACGTCCGGTTCGAGTAGTTCCGATTCCGGCAATGCACTGACCAATGGTGATACGCATGGTAGCGCAGGTGACGGCGGTGCTGGTGTCCATGCGAATAATTCACCGGCTGATAAGCAGTTACTGCTTGGCACCGAATGTGTTGTTTGTGGTGACAAATCAAGCGGCAAGCATTACGGGCAGTTCTCGTGCGAGGGTTGCAAATCATTCTTCAAAAGGTTATTGCTTGATCACTGGCCATTTTTCTGCTCCAAAATTTTTTAGGCTTAAATTTCGAAATTTTAATG